CTTTACAAAGAACCAAAACTATGTAAATCCACAGGAAGAATAGACTCCCAGTGACACCATTTCTGAATGCAACAACCCAAAGTTGATCAAAATTGGGTTAGCTGTTAGCTAGAAGACAAGAAAGCCAAAAGACAAAACAGGTCAATGACAGTAAAGCGTTGTTGTGTGAGTCAGAGATGTTGGATCAGCACACAGCACACACCAACGAATTGCTATGTCAACCATAAACTTTCACAGAGCTGGCTGCAGTTACGGCCATTTTCAAATGGTGGCAGAACATGGAATGACTCCGTCAACGGCTGGAACTGGAGCTGGATGCCGATTTGACATCTTAGCAAAGCAGAAAGCCCAGAAAGGAACTGCTTCCAGATTGTGCAGAACCAAGTCCGCAGGTCCTTTAGCAATAGCCGTGTTCTGTGCATCGGAACCTGGGAGTAGAGGGAAAGCCTTTATCACCTTTCCAATGAAAGTTGCTGAAAGCTGGTGCTTTTCCAATTGGATCAGATTCCAAACTTTCAAAAATCGGTTGTGACACCTTTTCTATCCGGAAAAAGATTTCAGCTGTAGATGACAGCACTCTTGGTGCTTTGCCTGGAAAGGAGACTTGGGAAAGGATGCCCAAAGAAATCGACAATCTCAACACAAGAAAGTTGGGGATACCTATACTGCTGAGGGAAATGGCAAGATGAAGAGGGACAATCCGAAAACCCAGTTTCGTAGCATTCCGAAAAGTAGCGAAAAACATAGTAGTAGCAGGAAAGAGTTCAGCTTCGGCCAGATATATCTTCCCCAACACCTTGCTTGGTTTTGGTTTTGGGACTATCTGGAAACTGAGACAGCACTTTAGGTGCGTCCGACGCTCATTCATGGCAATACCACTTGGCGAAAGGAATGTGATTGTTCGCCTTCCACTCAGTATCTGGAGTATCTCATCGTTGCACGGGGAATGCATTTGGAGAAAGCTCATTATGAGTTTCGAATTGCAAGCCTTGAGTGCGTCAATTATCTCTTTGGCTTCGTGCAAAAGGTCGGACATGATGGAGGACTGAAAGTTGTTCACTTGAACCGTGTTTGTTCTTGGGACGATGGAAAGTGGTACGTGTGCTTTGCTCGTCTATGTGGATGATTTGCTTGTCATGGCAGAACACGAGGGTGATGTCACGGCCAAATTTGATCTGATTAGGGCCAATGCGGAAAGCCGCGTTTTTTTTTTGGAAGGTTTCAGCAGAGGTTATAATGTCGTTTTACGTGGCAAGCATGGCACTTCATGACATTCGCACGTGTTCCACAACGTGTCGAAAGCCGTTTTATCTGACAGGGGCAATACTTTTGCTTTATTTTTCGTGGCAGGCGCAGCACTTTGGACAAAAATGTGATGTAGTTCCCTCGCCCGTGGAATGCCATTTTGCGTGGCAGGCACAGTTGTCGGTGACGCCTTACACCGCACACCCTGTACACTCGACTTTTAACTCCAAACTCCACAATCTTCGCACACACACACACACACGCCACACTGCACATTCTAAACTTCACAATCCACACATGAAAAACTCCACCATTGCCACCCCACACTCCACACTTTGCACTGCGCACTTTACCCTGCACACTTGACACTCCACATCCCCAATCGAGAGTCTACACTTTACATTCCGACTCCGCACTCCACACTCTACACCACGCACTACACTTTACACTCCGCATTGCGCGCCACCCCCTTCACATTCTACACTTTAATCTCTGCAGTCCGCACTCCGCACTCCACACTCTGCACCCCACATATCAAACTCCCCCATTCCCACTCACCACCCCACACTCCACAATTTGCATTGCGCACTTTACACTGCACACTTCACACGCCACATCCCCAATCCGCGCTCTAGCTTTACATTCCATACTTTGCACTCCTCACTCCACACTTTACACTTTGCATTACAGTCCCCAATCCCCACTCTAAACTCTACTCTACACTACACCTTACTTTCTACACTTTGCATTTCGCACCATACACCTTACACCATACACGCCACACTCTACACTTCACACTCCGCACTCCACACTCAATATTTTACACTCCACGCTTTGCACTCTGCACTCCACACTTTACACTGCGCACTTCACACTCCACACCCTGAACTCTTCACCTCGGCCTCCTCACTCCACACTCTACACTTTACACTCCGCCAGAGCACTCCGCACTTTAGACTCTACGCTTTACACTTTGCACCCCGCGCTCCGCACACCACATTCTACACTTTACACGCCACATTCGACAATCCTTTTTTTTGATTTTACAATTCCACATGTCACACTTCACACTTCCCACTTCCAACTCCGCACATTTACACTGCGCACTTTACACCGCACGCTTCACGCTCCACATCCCCAATCCGCACTTTAGCTTTACATGCCACACTTTGCACTCCGGACTCCACACTCCACAGTTTAAACTCCACACTGTACATTCCCCACTCCCCACTCTACACTCCGTACCTTACTTTTTGCACTTTGCACTCAACACCATACACCATACACCGTACACCATGCACACTACACTCTCTACATTTAACGCTCCACACACTACACGTCTCACTCCACACCCTACACTTTACATTCCACCTGAGCACTCTACACTCTACACTCTACAGTCTGCGCCCCGCGCTCTGCACACCACATTCCACTTTTCAGACGCCGCGCTGCACAATCCCCATTGTTGACTCTACACTCCACATGTCACACTTCAAACTTCACACCCCATACTTCCCACTCCACACTCCACACTTTACACTGCACATTCGACACTCCACACCCCCAATTCACATTCTACAGGCTCTGCACTCTACACTTTATCTCCACACTTTGCACTCCGCACTCCACACTTTACTCTCCACACTCCACTCTATGCTCTAAATTCCACACCTTCGACTTAGATTCTACACTCTACGACTTGACACTCCAGACTGTGCGCTTTGCGCTCCACATTTCACACCCCACACCCTGCATGTCCTACTTCACACTCCTCATCTAGACCCCGGCCTCTACACTCCACACTCCGCACTCTACACTCTACACTCCACGTTGCACACTCCACACTTTACAGTTTAGACCCCGCACTCCACAATCCCCGCTTCACACTGTACACTCTAAACTTCACGCTCTATGCTTTACCCTTCACACTCTACACTACTCTACACTCTACACTCCCCCCTTCCCACTCCACACAACACACTTTGCACTGCGCCCTTGACACTGTACATTTGACACTTCACATCCCCAATCCACACTTTACACTTTACATTCCACATATTGCACTCCACACTCCAGACTTTACACTCCACATTGTGCATTCCCCATTCCCCGCTCTACACTCCACACCTTAAATTCTACACTCCAACTCCACACTACTGGGCACTCTACACTCCACAGTCTACAGTTTGCACTCCACACTCCACATTTTGCACTCTGCACTCCACACATTCCACACCCTTCACTTTTAGATTTTGGTTTCTGCGCTCCACTTTTCACTCTACACTTTACACTGTGCACTCCAGACTCCTTTCTGAATAGGCTCTACACTTGACACTTTTACACTCCAGACTCCACACTTTACACGTCCCAATCCTCACTCGACATTGCGACATTGAGCACTGAAACACTCAAATGCACACCTACACCCTACACTTTCCAATCTTGTTTTAACACTACACTCCCCACTCAACATTTCCCTGTTTATATTTTATGCTTCGCACTCCACACTCTTCACCCGACACTCTGCAATTGTGCGGTCACAAGGGAAAAACGTACAAAACTGTAGAAATAATTTGTTTCGCATAAGTGTTTTACGCGTCTGCGTCCGGGTTCGTTGATTGGTTTTGTTTTGATACTTGTTCTCATTTTTTTGTTCTTTTGGCGAGTAAAAAACCCGCGCTATTTGCGTAGTCCTCACCGTCAAAAAACATGTTGCAATGTTATTTGGATTAAACCATTAATTCCACATGTGTTGTTGGTGCATTTTTTGGATACAATTTCCAGGGTTCGCATGTCCATCGCAAACTCGTTACCCTGACAAGCTGCAAAACAGTAAGGCTCACTCATTATCGAATTGAATTCAATATCAAAATATCAATATCAGAACAGTGCTAAATTGCTAAATTGTGGTTCACTTTACTTTCATATCGTGGATGTATTTGCATGACAGTTTGTGGTCGTGGATGTATTTGAATGACAGATTGTCAGCTTGTGTGAAATACATATGTAGGGCGATTTTGTTTCGTTATTCGTTATTTTGTTTCTATTCCACGTTTATCAGCGTCGCGTTCTCAGCTAGCGAATAAACGCAAATTATGCGCCAATTCATGTTTCGTTGGGGCAACTTGTGAATGAACATGTTTGTGGTTGAAATGCAGACTGGTACTGTATAGACGCAACAAATCATGCGTGGCAAACGCAGTTGTATCTATGTATCTATGTATCAATGTATCAATGTAGGAATGGACGAAACAAATATCCATGGTTTGAATGTTCCACGCCCACCACATTCCCAGACAAAGGAATCGCCGAAATATTGATTTCAAATTTGTCAGCAATCCTATTAACTAAAAAACATGACGTCATTTCATGTAGGACCACCGGTCATTTTTTTTGTGTGCGGAGCATGTGCATCTTGCATTGCCCAATAAATTGCCGTTGCAAACTCATGTTCATCCGTCATCTTTTTTCTCCATGCAGCTGTGTTTTCTGGTTTCTTGCCAGTTAGCATTGGATGGCAATCTCTTGATGCAAACCTACGTGGAAAACATGTTCTAAAAAAATTGCCATTTGTGACACGGTCACATGGACACGAATTTGTTTTGTTGGGAGCGCATGATTACCATGTTTGATCCACACGGTAGGTGGGTAACCGTTGCAGCCAAATTTTGTTTGCATCCCGCATTGGTCCGGAAATGGCATTTTTTTTGCTGCAAAGTTCACATTAAGTTTCGGCATTGCGTTTGAAATTCATCAAAACACTTACGCTCTACTTGCAAATGCAGCGTGGCACGCTGGATGCTGGTGCGCTCAGAATAGGAGATGGCGAGTCCATTTCAAGGAGCAATGGGATCGAATTTTCTATTTTTCGATGCTATTGAATCCAAAATTTGCGCCAGGAGAAATATTTGGTTTGGTCATGAATTTGTTGATGAGGCTGGAACATTTTTGATGGCGACATATGTGCCATGGTCAAAAATTGGATTGTGACTATATTGGGTGATGGTTATCAATCCATGAATACCAATTTATATACCCATTGTAAGGAATCCCTGATGATGATGATGATGAGGATGAGGAGGAGGAGTATGAGGATGAGGATGAGGACGATGACGACGACGGTGGGATGACCATAATCTATATATCGATACCATGTTTTGACCATGGCACATTTGGCAATTGTCATTTGCGAGTTTATGTGAACATTATGATTTGGAATTATGTTGATGTTGTTTTACAATTTAAAACATATGTTTTGAATGCTCTGCATATGTTGTTTTTTTGAAACTGTATACAATTTGTGCCATTTTTTTCGTTGCAAAGCGTTCCATCCCAGGAAACGATGCAACATGTGAGAAGCGTGGTTGTAGCAGCTGGGGTGATGGCCGCTCTCCAGGTGTGAGCATTTGTTGGGGCACATTTAGTCAACTGGATTTTTGTCAATGATTGCCATAGTTCTGTTCCACATATGCACCTGTTTTACTGTCACAGGACCGCCTGGCTGATGTCCTTGCTTAATACTCCGAAAACAAAACAAACGCAAACAGAATAAATACAGACACAACAAGGCATGTTCCTTCATGTTTTGCATTGGTTTTTTGTTTTTGTTTTTGCAATTTCTTTCCTTGTTGGTTGGTCCTGATTGTTTCCCCTTGTTTTGTTAGGTGATTTGTCTTGGCCTTCCCAGATGAAATTGTTGCATTCGAACCTATGCATCCTAAATTTCCATATAGTTGTCTCTCACTCTGTTTGCCATGTTTTCGTCTGTAGATTTGTTCATTCATCCATTGGTCGATATGTTTATATTTTGATCCGTCCAGTCCATCAATCTCTATTTTTAAATCTCTGTCTCTCTCTCTCTATCTATTTGTATCATTTGGCTACATATATTATATATATACATATATATATATACACATATACGTATATCTCTAATATCTCTATTTGTGTATTGAACCAGCAATTCATTTATATGCATCCGTTCATTTATATGCATCCGTTCATTTATATGCATCCGTTCATTTATGTGCATCCATTCATTTGTCCATCCATCCATCCATCCATCCATCCATCCATCCATTTGTTATTTATATGCGCATCTACCTTTCTACCGATCTACCTGCCCAACCTCCTCCACTCAATAGACAGGATCTAGACTCATTTGAGTGGCCTGGACTTGGCAGGTCGTGTCGCTTTTGCTCGCTTTACTGACGAAACATCACTTTGAGGGGGCGCGCGGCTCCAAGTCGGAACAATGAAATCAACATTGTAATCATGACAACCTCTTGTCTACGCAATGAACAACAGCTTGGACATGTTTGCTGGAAGCTACCTGTTTGGTGGGAGCTCTCTCTAGTTTTTGACCCTTGCAACATGTGGAGATTGATGACCTATGAACAGGCTGAAGAAAAGGGCAACATGACATACCCACCTACACTCAGGACTCAAGAGCAGATTGTCAATTGGCCTAAGAATGCTGCTGTGTTAAAGTCGACTTGCATGTCCCCAGGCTCATCAACTTCATGCTTGGGATGATACTGCCTGGTTGCGGGTGAGCTTGACTTGATGTGAATCTGGGGTAAAAAAACATGATCAATACATTTTTCATCAGTTTTTATGATATTTGTGCTGCGAAACAGCTTTGAAGGCATTCCATAGGCCCAGAGCAAAAAGATCCTGCGTGGAGAGACGGCAGGTATTGTGGTGCAACACGCACCAATTCCGAACTGATGTGCTGCTTTTCGTTCACAAGTCTTGTTGGGATCTCAACATATCTCAACTACTTTCAAAACTTTCAAAGAATTGAATTGCAACATGCTCGAATGTATTCAGCTACGTCGCAAATGAATGCTCTTTGCATATTTTTGCAGCGATGTGCCAATCTCGCTTTTGCTAAGTGCTGGCAAGAACAATATTGGAGTCCGATCTACAGAATCTACAGTCACTGGTCACTCCAGACTTTGCTGGCTGAGTTGTCCGCGATTTCCCAAATGCTGCTGATGCTAAATTCGCTTCTGGCTATTTGGTTTATCAGTGAAAACGAAGAGGCAGGCAGGGTTCGCTGGTTATGACTATCCAATTGAAAGACGATTCACAGTCGCACTTTGCTTTGTCTGCTTGTAGAAAGAAAGTCAGGGATGAAACTATGGTCCCAAAATCGGAGATGTTTCCAGATCTTTCAATTTGTGTGCGAATTATATGCACGTTATAGGAATCTTCTGTGCTCCCACTTGTTGTTCGATTTGACATCTTTGGTCAATGTACACGAGACCCAAACGGGGCACTTCTTGGCTGTGTTGATCTGCGAACTGCAGGTTTTTTGCGAAGCGCTGTGCCAAGTTACTGGTTGTGGCAATCACAGCAGGATTTGCAGCTGTCAAATAGGCCCCTGACTGACAGCTGCAATGGCTGCAATGGGTATCCTTTGGAGTCTCTCTCTCTCTCTCTGCCCTGTTAATTTTACTGGTGCGTCGTTGGTTCAAGTGGATCGTCACCACCATGATCGATTGGGCTGAAGAAGGTACTTTTCATACAGGGGTGTGCTTTTCAAGAATTGTGACTCCAACGTTTCTAAACTTTCCTTAGAAGTCATGTCTCAGCGGGTTTTGTCGTTATCCTGCTCAGGGCTTTTCGACATTTTTCGACTCTTACCTTCTAATGGCACTGGCTTTCCTCCTCATCCTTCACTGAGATTCAACTGTCACGCCGCCATGCCCCGTCAAGGCTGTGGAGAATCGTGCTGCAGTGACTTTGCTGAGGCCAGAATCGGCCAGAATCTCGCCACCAATAGACAATTTCAGGCCGTTTCCAGACTCTGAATGCCTCAATTTCATTTACACAGACATTGAAATGCGTGTGGTTCTGCCAGGTGTGTCACAATGGACAGCAGCTGCTGGCACCTATGAGCCTCAAGCCAAGTTTTCAGAACCCATTGACCATTTTGGATGATTCTTTGGTTTTGTGATTTAGTTTGACTCAGCTCGAAGAGACCTTCTCCTCCAATATATAAGTGGTTCTGTTCTTCCAATGCTTCTTGAGGTCTCTTTCTGTTCTGCGTCTGGGTCTCTATCAACCAAGGCTGCATTGACTTAGAAGCAACACTGGGCTACAAGACTCATGTCGCAGCAACAGCGCTCCACTTAGAGTGTGGTGCCTCACTTTGTAGTTGTCACTGAATTTTGATGGGAGTGCTGTTGCATTGCACCTTTTTGTGAATGCTATGTCAGGTGATCATGCTGATATCTCCTCTTGTCATTGGCTTGAGCGTCTCTTGCCTGTGCTAGTTTGCAGTCAGCAGAAGATCTGGGCCACGAATCCTTCAAGATCCCAGGTCTATGCTTGGCACCATGGCCGAAAGCTCTACGAGCGGCTGTCAGCAGGCAACTCCGCATGTCATGGCAGGCCCATATGTATCCTTTTTTGTGCCCTGGAACATGCTGACAGGTGAGGTCTTGCTCGTGCGTGGCGAGAGAAGGAGCGAAGATGAGGCACGTGATTTTTTTCATCTTTTACATAATTAACATTGTATTCTGCGATGTGATGTCAGAAATGAAAAACAATCTGTGATGTGAAATGTTGTCGTCGGAATCACTGCGCAGGCGTTCGAATAGTGATCTCAGCGGATACCAAAAGTGGTTCTGAAATTTGGGCCACAGCGGCGACCAGGTTCCGCAGCTGTGAAATTTCCGCAGCTGCCATGGTTCTGATGGTCGACGCTACCGCTACTAGAAAATTATTTGATATTATTTGGCTCGAAGTTGATGACCGATCAGGAGCTTGAAGGCTGATATGGCTGTGTATAAAGCTCTGCACGGCTAAACAGGCCGAATCGCTGAATCTGACTGTGTTCACAAGCGGCAAAACAGGTTGCAGAAATCAACGGTCGCTTTCATTAGGATTTTTCATCTATCCCCTAGTGATCCTAGTGGTCTCCGATAGTGTTGTGGGTAGAAATTACTTTCTTATTTGTAGATTTTGTAGATTGAAGATCGTTTTGTGTGACTTTTCCTTTGGGAGTTCTGTTTGGATTTCCCTGGATTCGCAGTTGGGGGAAGCTATGAGTATCAGGAACTGGAATAATCTATATACATATATATATATTCGTTTTTCACGGTGTCAGATCCACAACTACACAACCCCGTTACACCCTATCAAAGAACACCCTCAATGTGGTACAAGCTGTTCCATATAGCTTGTTCCAATAAGATTAGTCAGGCCAGAGGCCTGCGAAGGAGAACAATACCCACATTTTCAGAAGCCTTTTGATGACATAGCATGGTCTGAATGTGCGCATGCATTTGGATGTCATGTTTATTGCTCCGGAGTCTCTTCAGGTAGCAAAAATCACCAATGGCACGGGTCACCCCTGCTAAAAAATGGACAATGTGCACAATTATCTGTTCCAAGTTCTAACTGTGGTCCGGTCATCAATAATTTTCCTCAAGTCTCTGCGAGGAATCCACCTAGAGACAATCTAGCATCTAGCATATTGAATTCGCTTACAGGCTTCAAGGGCCTCGGCAAGTTTTAGGGCAACTTTGCTTCCTTGAACGGCATGTTTGATCCCACCAGCCATCCATGCTATTCTATTCATCAAAAACGAAGAACACTGAATTTGTGCAGGAGTTGAACATAAAGGCAATGCTTTAGTCTCTTATCACATGTGTTCTGGATAACGACTGCCGCGCTGATCATGGGTCTTGAACTTGAACGCGCATTGCAGCTGCAAGATGAAATCATTGAGGCACAACGCGGTTGGAAATGCGAGCAATTTCCTGCTACCTGTAGCTTTGGTTTGCCCTAATTTCAGTTGTAGACGCTCTTCAAAGTTGTTTCATCCACATCTTGTGTCTTTGAGAGTCAAACACTGTGAAACTAGCCCACTTATATGCAATGAACATCTGCCACGAGTAGAGAATTTGAGCGCGTGCTGCCATCGATTTCGTCATAGTGCGTTTGGCCAGGCATACAAGCAGAAAGCTGCGCAACTCAGGGAGTTTGCTGTACAGATGAAGGCCTGCCCTTGCACTCAAAAAAAACGTAGCAACCTCGAACCTCGAAGGCAAACTTTTTTAGCAGCCTCAGCATGCTCAGAACTTGCAGGAAACGAAACGATAGTAAGAAGGAATGTAAATTGACGCGGCAGTGATTTCCGTCGTCCAGAAGATCTTGGATGCTGCCAGCGCAGCCTTATGCTGTGTGATGCAGAACCGTATTTTCTTTTGCTTGCAGTAGTCAGAGATGTCGATTTGTCCTTAGAGCAGTCTTGCTTTGCATACCAAATTGGGATGTTGTCCGCCGACAACAGCATATTTACATGTATTATCATGTATTATCTACCTACTTCATTCATCTATCATTTTTCCATATTTTTCCCATATTGAGCCAACTATCCTTGGCCATGACAGGAAGGCCCAGCAGCTGCTTTGAAGGCTGGAGAGCGGCGAGCGGCATTCTTGCTGGAGCTGCAGAAACCTTTGGTGGCCAGGACAGGACAACTTTCAAACCCTGATTTTGTGGGTCAATGACCCAGCACATGTGATATGTGGTAAGACTGGTAAGATGTAACATGTGTGATCATAGCTGCATAGCTTTCGCACCAGCATCAAGGTCACCTTCCGTTTAAGTTCCAGAATTTTTAGGGGAGGCGGCGTCTAAGCCAGGTATGGCTTCGAAGAGTCTGCAAAGGGTGTGCGGGATGCCATGTTTGCATATGCCGACATTGCCGAGAACAACTTGGCACGGGGCCCTGGGAGAAGTAACTGAGAAGTTTTCACCCAAAATTGCACGCATAAGTTTTGACAATTTTTGCCACCATTGCCTTGCGAAGAGCTCTGGTCACAGCTTGAAAGGACGTCGCGCCCCAAGGTGATGAAGCGCAACAATCACATGGAGAGGCTTCTGGCAGCTGGGGAGGACATGCCAGAAGCACCTGCTAGAAGCACCTGAGTTTTTTTGCTTCACAACGAAACCCATGAAGCCAGGCAAGTTTTGGCTAAGCACGGCATACGACAGGACATTGACTACTACCTTACAGTGGTTGGCCAGCAGGCTGACCCTTCGAGTTCTGCCAAGTCATATCAAGTCATATAAGTTACATATAAATTACATATAAGTTACATATAAATTACATATAAGTATTATCAAATAATATGAAGTATTTAGATGAGTTACTCATTAGTTGGCAAATCTGGGCGAGTGGCAGCAGTGGAATGGCGAAGCACGGAACCTGCTCAGGTCATCCGGAACTTGGGCACAAAAAGACCAGCGCCTCGGAGTGCGTTTCCTTTGATTCCTCGGGAGGAGCACTTGGAAGCTGATTTCAAACAAGTTTGGTCGAGCAGGATCCATCACAATTGAAACTAAGGTTGATAGATTCTGATAGATTCTGATAGATTCAGATAGATGATAGTTAGTGCCGGTCTTGGGATTGCCTCAAGATAGTCAAAGAATTGGCCAAACTTGAGTTCATCATGATTCATGAACATAATCATTATTAGTCGCTGGAAGATGTATCACAGCGATTTGAAGTTGGCTGATCACGGCTGATCACGGCTGATCACATCGGTTTCGGAGAAGATCATATCCCGATATATCCCCGATAGGTTTCGGAGGATATCAGTACAGATTTCGAAGCTGAAAACATCGAAACCAAAGGTTTGAAGACAAAAGGCCGCGGTAGAGCAGGAAGAGTTTGATATTTTCAGCACAAGCTGGAAAGAATATAAGAAGAACATGACAACAGGATACAAAAGGAAAATAACATGCTGCTCAAAAAAGATACTACAAGCGTCGACAAACAATTACGAGTAAGACCCCAGGAAGACAATGAATTCAGAAAGCCACTCAGAGCTATTTTCACAGAATCGCAGTTCATTGCAGCTTGTGCCACTTGATGGTTGTTCGATATTGTTGGGGTCTTAACGGGCTCTTCCTGAAGTTGCAGGACTTCATCAAGTCCGTCGAAGGGCGGCTATTGCCTATACCACGTGAAGACATGTTGGCTTCTGACACAACAGAGGCGGCCTGTTGGGTCAACTCTGACAAAAGGATGGGTAAGTGGCAAGTGGCAAGTGTCATTCCATCCATCAGATCAGTCCTCAAAAGGAAAAGACTTCGGGCTTCATAACAGGGCATTCCCGCAACAGTGGAGGGGGTGGCTCTGTACAAGGGTCAAAGACTCAAAGTATGAAATTCTTCTGATCAGCACTGTTCTCGCTCCGTACTCGACGCTGGAAAAGAATCTCCATGGATGCCAGGAGTTGGTGGCTGCCTGCAAGCGAGGAGATTCTCGCAAGGCTGAGGCGCTACTTGGCCAGGCAGAGAATCACTGAGGTTGGACAAAACTGACATCTGACAGGCTTCAACAGGCTACGACTCGTACGACGTATGCTTTTTTAATCTTTTTTACATGTAAGAATTTGCAAAATTTGGGTAAATTGAGTAGCTGACCATAGCTGGCCTGTTGGAGCACCGCCCTGCACAGACTGGCGTGGTGAATCTGGGCTTTCATGGGCTCGGGGTCGGTGCCACGACCTTTGCAAAGGCGTGCAGAATGCATCACAAATTGCCATGACAGAAATCAAGAACGAAGATCACTGCCAGCTGTCATGACCAAGCTAGCCAAGTTTGCAACAGGCCCTATCTCCAAAGCTGGAGGTCTGGGGCTAGCTCTGACTGGGAAGCAGAAGTCTTCACTTTGATATGCGACTTCAAGTCATTTCACCTTGGTGTTCCCTTGATCCTTGGAAGTTATTTTGCTAAGGTCCTGGAACTTGACATCTCTGGCAATAACATTGGACTGGAAGGTGCACAGGCAGGACTCACTATGAAGACTTCAAACACAGGATGCACTCTGCAAACATACCAAATGGATCCAAATGGTCTGAAAGCAATTTGAGCTTGCAATATGCTTGTGCCGCATACATATCCACGACCCCGCCTGCATTTTGGCCACAGCTCACGGTGAAGTGCTTGAAACATCTTGACACCCTTAAATGCTTTAATTGGCGGTCATATATTCCTGGTGACTCTGGTGGCTATTGCATTCTGTATTTTGAAAATAGGTTAAACTTGATTAAACTATATATTAAACTCCCTTCAGCCCTTCACGGATCCTTCACGGATCCTTCACGGATCCTTCACGGATCCTTCACGGATCCTGTGGCGCAGGCCTTGGCTGCCAGCATGCCGAAGAACCTGAAGGCGCACCGAACACATGGGCGGGCCTTGGGCCCCCTTTGGGCCTTGGAACACATTGCAAGCCGCTGCAAGCCTTGCAAGCCCTGCATTTAGAATTTAGACTCCTGAGACTCTTGAGACGCGAACAAGATAAGCATGACACAGCATGACACAGCATGACACAGCATGACACAGCATGACACAGCATGACACAGCATGACAAGCTGACGTCGTACAGAAAGATGTGCATTGTTGCCATTGTTGTGGGTGTGAGGGATTTGACTTGAAGAATTGAATTTACATTTGCAATGAAATTGGAAAGCTCAACTCATTCGGAACTATCATGGTTTATTGGACTGAGAGGTACCTTGTTGATCCACGAGCCTAGCTCACTTTGAGTGCTGTTTCAGTTTCTGAGCGTAGCCGGAGATCAAGCAAATGCGATGTTTGTGTTTCTTGTCTTCTACTTCCGGTGATTTCCGGTGTATCCGGAAGTCAGCTTTTTTGATCAGGTCCTGAAGCTCAATCTCTCACGAAATCGGCTCACTCTCGCAGGGGTCAGGTGCTCAGGCTTCGAGCAGACTGTGACTAGCACGACGCTCTGCCCAGAACCTTGTCATGGATTCCCATATGATTCCCATATGATTCCCATATGATTCCCATATGATTCCCATATGATTCCCATATGATTCCCATATGATTCCGTATCCAGTTGAAACATGTTGAAACCTCGATGGATTCATGTTGAAATCTCTCTCTCGAGTCTCTCTCGCTGTTGCTTGTTGTGATTTCGGGCCAAGTATATGCGTTGACAACGTGCGAATGTTTGAACGGTTGTAGCTTTGTAGCCTTTTGGTGCTTTCCGTACTACTTACGAGCGAGTTGAGCCTTGATTCAACACCACGACTTGGAGGTGAAAGCAATTGCTGAATCCATTCCGAGATCTGTCGAGGTGTGGAGAGGGTGCTGACTGGATGGCAGTGCATCAGTGCATGAAAGGAAGAAAGGAAGAAAGGAGCCTTTGTTCATCTTTGATCAACAGGTTATAACAGGTTCCCATCCGGTTCCCTTTCCGGTTTCGGCATGCCTACATCATCCTACATCCCAGGTTCTAGGCTTGGGCTTCTCTGGGATGAAGATGGGTTGGAGACCAAGGCTGCAAGACATTGCAAGACGCCCCACGTCGATCCTTGAGTTAACTTGTGCCTGTCGACTTCGCCTTGAGGCCCAGAAGGTGGCTCTGTACTGGCCCAAGCGATTCCACCAGAGGCCCACAAGCGCCACTGAATTCACACCAGAATTCTTAAGAATAACGTAATATATACTGTATATACATGTATCACTGTGTATCTGTATATATGTATATATGTATATATATATACACATACATATCTATAATGTGTATAAACTATTGCACTATTGTCTCTTATTCTTGTTCTCTTGGAAGTGTTGAACTTGCTTGTCTCTCTTGGAAGTGACAGGTGAAGGACCTGTCCTTGGACCTATTTGGCAACAAACTTGGTGGTGATGGTGTGGAGTCAATCTCCAAGGCAAGCTTGGAGACACCAAGATTCGAGACATTCAGCTGCAAAAAAATGACACATCAGTGCAAGGCCTTGCCAAAGTCTTTGGAGAAACTTCACCTGGTGCTCCAAGACAATGATTTGAGCAGAAGGCACGTAGTAGGGACACAAGTATATACAAGTATATACAAGTATATACAAGTATATACAAGTGTATACAAGTAAGATCAAGTAAGATCAAGTAAGCTTGTTTGGCCTTTCACACAGCCAGAAAGCATTGGATGAGTGACGAATCCGAATCATCCTGACAAGCGCAGGGGCTTCTTCATGTTTGACCGGCAGATTGGTGACCCGGACTACCAGCGGTATCTTCCAAATCTAAAGCACCAGCCTCAGCGGTATCTTCCAAATGTTTCCACTGGTCCACCGGATTCCACCGGATTCCACCGGATTCCACCGGATTCCACATGTTCAGACACCAGTCACCAGCAGTCACCAAATGTCACCAAGGCCTGAAAATTTCACCAAGAGTGGAGAGTTGGACATCACCGAGTTCAAAGAGCTAGCAGTGCCTTGCTTGTACTCAAGTCCTGGAAGGGTTGACTTGGTCGTGTAAACTTTACACTCAACTCGCGAAATGCAATCTTTATGAGTTTTTGAGGGCGGCTTTTTGATCTGTCTGTTGCAATTTGGCTTTGGTTGATTTCTCACAGTTCCAACTGTCCCTTGCGCGACGAAGTAGCGATTGCTAAACGGTTGTCATCACGCTCACTTTCTTTCTCTTTGTCTCAGGATGGGACCATGATCCGACAGGTTGACTGGCAAAGAGCCATCTGACTTCTCATTTGATAGTTGCCTTAGTTGCCTTCAAACTTGATTTATGACCTCACCTGGTCTGTGGCTAGAGCGGTTTCAGCTCGACAAGTGGCTGAAGAGAGGGATCCGACCTCCGATGACAAAACATTTGGTCACATTCACATGCAGTGGCTCTTTCATGCTTTACTGCAAAGAAGTTGAGATCTTGCAACATTCGGTTTGGCGTATTCAGCTCTTTTCTTTCTCTTCTTGACATAGCAATCTGCACGATGCTTCTGCTTTGCAAAAGATCTGAACTGCAGCACTGTTGGCTAACGCGGAAGTTCACAGCTTCCTGGTGGCGAGTGCCTTGGCAAAACTTAGAGTTTTTTTAGCTCACAGAACCCTGGAGACGGAGATGCAGAACTGCAAGAATCTTTAAGACAGGTCCGCCATGGACGTCGCCCTTTTCGCCAGTGCCTCAGCATGCCGCAGGACATGCCGCAGGAGATGCCGGATGTGTCACGGCACGGGAGATCCGGGGCGAGCCTCGGCTCGGAGCCAGGCTTCAGATGTGGATCAGCTTTCGCAGCTGCTGGGTGAGCCGCAAAACTCAGAACCGGAAACGATCCATCGATGTTCGACACATTTCGATACATGCCACACCATGTGAAATCAATATTAGAATCATAACGGTTAGACAGGAAAGTGTGACAGGACACAACATGACGCTGTGGCCGTGACTGGTGACAAACTGTTCTCGTTCTTTTGTCAAGCCTGGTGGGAATGCAAATTGAGAAGACCCGGATACCTTTTGCACCTAGACTCCAGATGCTGACGGTCTTGGCATTTTAATCTTTATCATCTTTATCCTTCTGGTCAAAAGCAGTTTGCAAAAAGCAGAGACGGACTTGCGAAGTGCATCCACTCAGGTGTCACCTCCATGAAGAGAGGGATGCACTAAAGCCATGCACACAGCTTGTGGTGAACGTGGAAACCTTTCAGTTTCAGATGTTTCAGATGTTTCAGATGTTTCAGATGTTTCAGATGGCGTTTGACACAAGGCAGGTGATGATGCCCATCGCCAGCTATGCAGGACAGCTCGCATCAGGCGAGCAATAAACCCCCGCATGCATTGTGTCAGAAAGGTATTGCCCCATCCGCATGTTGATCAAAAAATGTGGAGCACTGCATAGCACTCCAATTTTGGCCCCTTTTCTTTGTTTGCCTTTGCGGTGTGGCTTTATCTAGGCCTGCAGGCGCCGTACGCATCGACAGCATCTTCTGGGTATCTCGACCTTGATTTAGAAACCTGCAGAAACCGGGAGTGGAATTGTTGGAAAGGACCAAGCATTGACCAAGCATTCTCAGCGTTCTTTCTTTCAGGGAACATCCTTGTAGACTCTCGCACTCTTTTTCAATGTGGACAAGTTTCCACAAGTTTCCACAAGCAACCAGGAGAAGACTACAGTAAGCCAGTCTATAGACCAAGCATGGCACACTTCATGGGTCTCCGCCCTTCGGCACCTAGAAGTAGTATGAAGTAGTCTTGTTTCCGTGTTGGTTCCAACATCAACAACATCTATTCAACATCTTAATATGATTTAATATGCTAATCCAACAGGGAATAGCAAGGAGCTGTGTACCTGCACCATCTGCACCTGCAGGCTGTATGCCGATGAGCTTTTGAGGCGGCTACAAGGTCGGATCTTTGGACATGTGAGGACCGTCACCGAATCGTCACCGAATCGTCACTACTGTCGTGTCACCGTGTCGTAATGGGCACGCCAGGCTGCCAATCTTTAGATGAGGGTCGCGCGACCTGCGCTGAAATGTGGCTTGGCTGAATATGTGTAAAATTCATTTGAATTCATTTCAATTTCATCTAATTTCATTAAATTCATACTTTTTTATTATTTTTATCTTTTTTGGTGGAATTCTGAGGAATCAACCCTTGGGAGTGGACATTCAGCCGTAGCATGCCGTAGCAGCTGAGGATGACTGCATTCCACCAGGATCAGCATAGTCAGTACAAGCCTTGGGCGTTACCGCGGCTCTTCCACGGCACATGACCCGCATTTCCACTGAGGCAACTGCTGCGGCCGTGCGTGCCCGTGGCACCAGTCCCATTGGAAACGCGACCTATGGATACAGCTCAAGCTGTACAACCTGCAGGCTACGGTTCCACGTCAGTCCACATGCAAGAGCTGCTTTCCACAGCTTTTGTTGTTTGACAATATGTTTGTGGTACTTCTGTACACATTGAAATTTAATGCCAGATGAGAGTCGCAAAGGCCAGTAGATGTACGTATGTACAACGTACAGATTGATTTGGACGTGCACCACAAAGAAGAGAAGTGCAGAATGAATGCTTTCGACATGTTTGCGTACTTCATCTGTGAACTTCAAAGCACTGCGTACAAGCAAGAAGTATGCAGTCCTAGGATGTTGCAGACACAACTCATTTCCATGAAACTTATCGATGCATTTGCGAATAATACTACCAATGCAGTAATTACAGAATATATATATATAAATATTATGATATAATATATGTGTTATACATAAACGTAGAGATTATAATCAAATTTGCCGTGTACATATATATATATATACACATACATACATATATCTATGTGCATATATTATACGCAGACACTCTTGGATTCTTTGACTATAAAGTATGTTTACACATTGTACACATGTTGAAAGTGCCCGCACACACAATGATTTGCATAAGCTCCAAACACCGCAGGAAGAAATGAACTCAAATGGTTTTCGTAGTTCAAATGGCATCTTGGGACACAGATGAAAATTCGGAACCAAGCATCACAGGAGCGAAGTATCAACTTGCGTGTTGGGACTGTATTTAGGCCACGGAACGTTGCATCCGTGGAGGCATTATACAGTATACATTTACAACTGTTCTGCGCATGTGCCGCACTAATCAGCCTATGAATGCTTCAACAGATGCAACGCATGACCTGTACACACTGAAAGGACATGTTTGCGAACTTCAGCTAGCAGGGCAGAAGTGCCATGTCGGTAACAAAGCCGGATGGTTGTTTGTAAGTTACGGCTACGGTCAGGTGTCTTAAAGATCTTAAAGTCACTACCGTCTTAGCACAGCAGGTGCTCTTTGGATGAGGGAGTCGAGCGGAGCCGCACAACTCCAATGTGAATCAGACTAGTTTATCCAAATCGTTTCCTTTCAAGGCCTTAGGTTTGTTGTCAATAGTTGTCAATAGTGCCTACAAATTCCAGGACAATCCCAACAACATGCAATCTTGAAGTGGTCTCGATAGCAAGATTCATTGATTGGACTTTGCTTGTCTCTATTGGATTTTTTCATAGCCGAGCAAAGACCCAAACTTCTTTTTTGTTGAGCAACCTTTTCCGCAAGGGGCTGTTTTAAGGCAGTCATGATCAAGGCATCAACATGGAGACTTCTTCCCCTGCCCTTTCTTTTTTGACTGGGGAATATATGAGTGGGAGACGCAGTTTATGTATTTGGGCATACGTGCACATACAATCACATACAATCACATACATGCATTTGCTTTCACATAGGTTTTGTATGAAGAAGTAATATACCAGCGTTTTAAATCACGAAAGCTAGCGTCAGCTAGCTGGAGTCTTCTTGCTTTAGCAAGTATTCCGGGGGCTGCTCAAGGACATCACGTGATTTTTCACGCGAAAGGGGGGGACCCCCCACCACCACCACCACCACCACCACCGCCATCACCATCATCTTCATCGTCATCATCATCGTCATCATCATCGTCATCATCATCATCATCATCGTTATCGTCCTCGTCATCGTCATCATCATCATCATGATCATCATCATCACCACCATCACCATCATCATCATCATCATCATCGTCATCCTCATCGTCATCACCATCATCATCATCATCATTGCCATCGTCCTCGCCATCGTCCTCGTCATCATCATCATCATCATCATCATCATCGTCCTCGTCCTTGTCCTCGTCATCGTCATCGTCCTCGTCATCGTCATCGTCATCGTCGTCATCATCATCATCATCGTTATTCACTTACATTTCATCATTATTGGCAATTGTTGGCATTATCACGAAAGGTAGCGTCAGCTCGCTAGAGTCTTCTTGCTTTAGCAAGTATTCCGGGGCTCCCCAAGGACATCACGTGATTTTTCACGCGAAAGGGCCCCCCCCTGCCCCCTCCCCCATATATATCATTGTTATATATCATATATCATATATCATTGTTGCATCCTCGTTGGGACGAACAATGCCGCGACACGATGATGACAGTCCCTCTGCAACTCACCTCTTCCCTTCCTTCTTTCTCCTACCCCGCTAGCTTTCGTCATCCACCCCCGGCCTCAAGTTCGTCTTGTCTGAGTCTGTCGGTATGGTCCCACTTTATCTTTGCCTGAAGGTTTCGTGAATGCAGAGCTCATGGTCGGTCCCTGATGTGTTTATGTTTTGCGCTGCTAGTTGTCGAGTTCCTATCGTGAGAAGTTTACTAAACATCCGAGGCTCGACTGCAATCTCTCCAAGGCTTGTTGGGAGGAAACCAACAATATCACATGGTGAATGCAACACAAACGACTTTATCGACTTTCAAATCGATTACTATTATTAAACTGTGGGAGCATCTGCTTGGACGTGATCGCAGGTGCCAACCGAGTGATAGTGCGCGCGCTGCGCATCATGTCGGAGCGCTTGCGGGAGCAAGGACTGGTGGTTACGAGGGTTCTCTTAAGACTACGGTTGCCCTTGCTGTCTTGATGCATGCCATGATTTGTGCATTATCAAGACACAAGATACAATAAGGCTGCATTGGGCCACTTAGTTATCTAATTTCGTCGTGAACTTCGCTGGTGAACCTGCATTACCTGGAAATCAACGGGGGTCTTCTTTGGGTCAAAATCTTCTGTGATCTGTTTTGCCAGTCTCCAGTCTTGTGTCAGTTTTTAGGACAGCGCAGTCGCCAAGCAGAAGAAACAGTTGTCAGACACTGAGACACCTTTGAATGTGTGAGCGCAGGCAGGCTTGTCTTTGTGCATATGAAATGAATCTGCCTGTAGTGTAGACCCACAGCCAAACAGCTCTGCCAAGCTGCGCAATTCAGGAACAGCTGAAGTCTGAGCTGCAGGTGCAGTGCCATGTTCACAGTGCCTGACCGTTCGAGTCACTTAGTGTTCACTTCATGATGCTCCCTCACGAGTCTTCAGTCCAATGGGATCCAATGGGGTTTCGAAAGAGCCGGTGCAGGCTCAGAGCGAACAGCTTCGTGCTTCAGAGAGGGCGAAGGCCCTTTTGCAGTCGCGCGTGGAAGTGCTGCTGCGTGAGGACTTTATGCCGCAGGCACACAGCAACAGAATTGAGACCGCACGGATACGGCACGGAGAGTTCAATCTGCAGAATCAACATTGATTTAACGCATTACAGAGAGGATTTAATTGATTGAAGAGTGTTGAATAGTATGATTCAGATTGATGAGCGCTGACAGCGATGAATGATTCTTTGGAAACTCTGCTAAATGGAAGCGTGTGAGAACAGACAGTAAGACCAGCCCTGTCGCGGCCAGGAATGTGGTAGACCATGCAGCTAAAGCTGGCAGCGGCGTCATCAGCACTTGTTCTGCCACGCCAAGCCGTGGCCTAGCAAGGATCAAGTGCAATTCGATGGCAATGTTTGATGCTCTGCATGATTCGGACAATGTGACAAGCTACTGCGAGTAGCTCAGATTAGCTCAGGCTCAGTGGGTTGCGAAACATGGCATTTCAGCGACCCTACGAAGCTTCCAAGACCCGTGGTCTCCATTTGGATGCCTTTCCGGGGTTCGTTTAAAACGATGCTCCTGTGTAGTCCGTTGTAGATTGTGCAAATCCCTCCCTAGGAAGAGCTTGGCTGGTGCCTCGTTGAAGGTTTCAAGGTGGTTTTCGACAGATCTCCAGAAGCTTCTCGACTTGGTGCCTATCGCAAGGCTACTGTAAGACAAGCTGTTTCGCATTGTTTCACGGATGCAAATCAGCCTAGATCAAACAAGGCATCTGCGCAGGCAGGGATGAAGCTCAGTCCAACAGGATTCAGGCCCAAATGATCCATGATCAGGCCTCGGCAGAAACGTTTTCACGCAGCTCGCTAGACAGCGCTTTTGTAGATGTGAAGTCGAAACAATCATCTGAAGATTATTTACTTTACCTTCCGCTGAACATTTTCCTAAGACTTTTCTGCCAAATCTCAGCTTGGAGAGTGCCCCTTTGGCCTTTGCATGGCAAAATCTATCAATTTGCTGGTCTCCTCATTTCAAAGCTTTGTTTGTTGGTTGATTGGAGCAAAGCCAAAGTCTGCTAAAGTGCCCCGTGGTGCTGGGGTGTTATTCTCCGGGCTTGTACAGCCAAGGGAGACTGCATCCTCAAAGCCAGCCGTTGCATTTGATTCATGTCCTAGACCCTCTTGTGCGTCATCACAGTCATCACCTTAGATTCCTTTCAAGATTTAAATTTGGACAGATTGCGGCTGGAACGTGCGCAGTTTCCTCAAATCGTCTACACGTTTGTATGTTGCAACATACCGGGTTTGCCAGTGACAGGAAGCCCCAGAGTGCGGTGTGGATAAGCGTAGGAAGATCATGGACATGCGCTAGTGGGGAAAAACATATCCACCTGATTCCGACAGTTTCCTGCTTCCGCCTGGAGTTCTTTCTTTTCTTTCTTGTGTCATCTTTAGAAGGAATGATGGAAAGAAATCCTGTACATTCCGAATCATTTCCAACCACAGAGGCACCGGTTCAGCTCGAATTCTGGAAGATCAAGCTCAAACCAAGTAGGATCGATTGAGGAGTGTAATTTAGCCGGGTGCTATGTGAAGAGCTTGGCAACAGTGAAGCTGTCCTTTGTCCTTCACATACCGGGAACGCTGTTCTTGTGTTGGCGGCAATCTTGATAGCAGCGAGTTGTAAACTGTTCCATTCTTTTGGCTTCGACTTGTAGACGTGTAGCCTTTTGTTTCCACTTCTGGAACTTCAAAAAACTTTGGTCCAACTTAGGCCGGTGCGACGTCCGCTGACTGCATCTGCAGCAGCAGCTCTGTTGTGCCTGGCGCGACATAGCCTGGAGCTCACAAGAGGAGCTCAGCGAAGACTTTGCGTAAAAAAGACGACGTTGTTTGACGTTGTTTGGAGAAAAGATTAGCATATCATATATATCATCGAAATCAAAGAAGTCTGGATGCAGGTCGGGTCTTCACCAGCCCACTGCCACTGAGACCGCCAGCTTTGCCAAGATTGCGAAGGACTAGCGACTGGTTCTGACATCCTGCTGTTTTCTCATTGGTTTTGTGGCTCTCAAATTGTTAGGTGGGCGCAAGTGGTCATACTTAAAGCGGCTCCTTAAATATTTCAAGGTGTTCACTTGCTATTTCCCTCAAAAGCCTGCATGCAGTCACAAGATTGCTGATGCCAAGACAGATGTAAGTTGGCGATGACACGTTGGACGACCCATGCTCCAGCAGGCTACTATTAATAGATTTTATTTATATTCGAATCGCTTCGCGACGAGAACCGCCCGCGCCCAGAGAATAGGACAGAGAGGAAAGAAGCGGGCCTACTTGGCCCAACCAAAAGCCGACTGGGGTCAAACTTGGCATTCCTTGGCCTTAAGTTGGGCCGAACAAGAGCTCACTTGCGCCCAACTTGGGCCTAACTTGCGCCGAACTCGGGCCAGCTGGCTCCAACTTCAAACTTGAGCCCAACTGGGATCCAACATGGTGCAACTTGGGCACGTTTGGGCGCAAGTTGGGCGTAGCATGCGCAACTTGGTCCTGAGGGCGGGCATCTGGCGCCGAAGTTGGGCCCAAGACAAGCCCAATGTGGGCAACATGGCCATCAAAGCCAATGTGGCATTGGGCCCACACCCCCAAAGGGCCCCAAGCAGCGTTGGGGCCAAAGCGAACCAGATACAAGTTGAAGCCATCTGCTTGGAAATCCAAGTCTAAAATTAAGTCTAACATACCGCAACTTGGCACCTTTTGGCGACAGCTTCGCACCAAGTTGGGCCAACGGAGACGCAACACGGGGAACATATAACATTGCTTCAAACGAAGCGTCGTCGATAGCCAAAAAACATGGAAAATACTAGTGAAAACGGGCGTTTTCAGGATTTCGCATTCGGCCGCTATATTCCCCTTATTTGAAGTCATATGGACTTCAACTTGTGCCGAAGAGACAGCGCGAGAAGGGACAAAGAAACACAGAGAGAGAGAGAGAGAGAAAGACACGATGCACAAACCCGGAACCGCACATACACACACACACACAAGCCCTGTGCGGTCACAAGCACTGCGTGCAAGCAGCGAGGAGCTGCTAGGACGGGTTCCGACGTAGCCGGACGTTTTGCCGCGGCGACGCCATAGTTGGAACTTTGAGGGGTGGACTCCCTGCGAATTGTTTCTGGTCCGGTAAGGGGTGGCTCCCATTTCTTTCTCTGGCCATACAACAGGGTGGGCTCCTACAACAATTCTCTGGCCCGGAATACGTTTTCAATTTTGGTAAGTTACAGGCGTACAATTTGATTTTGCCGTGTCGGTTGAGACACTTCACCTGCTGGCCAAAGTTTTTTGCCCTTGTGACAGTGCTCTCTATCATCATTGGTACATCAACGGGACACAGCATGTGGCTTCAGTTTTTCTGGTTTCAATTTTTCTGGGTCATTGGACAGATTTCTTTTGCTTGTGATCGCTCCCCGGTCCCAATTCCGGGGATGGCCTCGAGTCGATCTATGCACTCCACATCTGCACCAACTCAGAAACGACTATATGAGTGCCCAGGTTTTCAGCACATCGGTCATCAGGGTGAGGGTTACTGTGGTTCCATATCCACAGTGGGAGCAGACAGTTGGATAACAACGTTTTGTCAAGACTCTGCAAAACATGGAAAACAGCCGCCAATGAGCAACCGCTCGAATCGTCCCACTGCACCATTCACAGCAGTGCAAAAGAGGAGCTTCAAAAGGGCCTGCCGCAGAGCGATTTTGAATGGGTCTTCACATTATCATGGCAGGTGCATGAGCGTCGAGGACTTCCCACCAGCCTTGGTTCAGAAGCTTCATGCGGAATCCCCATCGACAAGATGCCCTCGGACTCACTGCACTGCGGCCCCGAGCAAGGGTCGCCTGACCTGCCTACACTGGAATCCTGGAGGACTGGCTCAGTCCACGCTTGCAGAAATACGACTATGGCTGCAACGATATCCGGTGGACATCGTTGTCTTAACGGAGACGCGTTGGAGCTTTTCATCCACTTGGACTGACAAAGCATGGATGTATGTGCATTCAGCTTCTGATGATTACAAAAGTGGGGGTATATTGATCATGATCTCCAGACGTTTGGCATGCCCGTAACAGCTTGGCCATCAGGCCATTGTGGACGGACGTTTGGTCCATGTCAGGGTTCACTTTGACTCCCGGGCGCTGGACATCCTGGCGATTTACCAGTACGTTGACAACAGGACAATGATCTCGGCTCAGAAGAGGGAACAGGTATGGGATGCCCTTAACACGGCATTACACAAACAGCCTTCCCGCAACAACATGATCTGTGCAGGAGATTTTAATTGCTCCCTGGATTCGCATCCACCGTGGATTGGTACGACCTCCTACAAATGGCATGGGCGGATGACCACAGGATCCACCCACCCTGACCAGGCACGACTCCGCGAAATCTTACAACTGCATGGCCTCACGGCCATCAACACTTGGAGAGCATCAGGAGCCACTTATGTCCATGGAGATACCACATCCAGGATAGATCATTTTTTGATTAAAATGTTGGCCTGTGATGGCTTATCCAAGCAAGTCCAGTTCCTGCATGATGCTGATTTTGTACCTGCAAACAGTACACATCACATCCCCATCCTTTGTAACATTCGAGCCAAACACATGGCATATCAGACGTATGAACGGCCAACATCTTGCACCTTCATGCAAAGATCAAAATGTAGGACGGCTGGTCTTCAGGAGACTCAAGCATGGCACTGCCTGCGCCAACAAGTTGTCGAAGCCGTTCATGCGGATCATCAGGCCCTTACACCTGAAGCCCTCATTCAAAAGATCCATGATCAGGTCTCAGTTGCGTTTCACCAATTTTTTTCCAACAAGACTCAGGATGTGTCCCAGGCAAATCTCACCACTGTTCATGGAGCTATTGTTGATAAATGGTACTTCAAAAAGCAGTTGCGACACCTTGCACAGACAGGACAAAAAACCCTGTCCAAAATTATGCAGGCCTGGCAATTCCGCAGCCGATATCAAGTACTCCAACGTGCACAGCAGAAAGCTCTCCGCCAGGCCAGAAAAGAACACTTCCAGGATCTGTGTCAGGAGGTCTCCAATGCTGCACACATACACGACACACACTCAATGTTTAATATCATCAACCGATTTGCACCCAAGCGTCCATTGGCACGGGCAAGACTCAGGGGCCCAGATGGCGCAATAGCTGATCAGTACATGGCCCATTCCCTCACAGTGGCATTCGTGAAGCGGATGTGGCAAGGCCCCAGCAGCCTGCCAACTTACCATGCTGCCCCGCCGGGGATTCCTTTTGAGCTTGAGGAATTGGTCGAGGCTGTGGCAAAGGTCCACACCAACAAGTCAGTTGCACAGCCTTTCCTGCCAGGAGTAGTATGGCGTAGTGCTCCCCGGGAAGTTGCCAGCTTTGTTTATTGTCAGCTCCAAGGATGGTGGTCACAATCCCCCCCCATCATCCCCAAAAATTGGAAGGACTCTTGGTTATTTTTCCTCCCAAAACCAGGAAAACCCAATACGCACCCGGACCAATTAAGACCCATATCACTCATGGAGCCGTTGGGCAAAATTGTCATGGGGTTGATCACCACAAAAATCAAAGCTTGTATCTTTCCCTTGTTGAACCAACTACCGCAATTTGGATTCTTACCATACCGTGCTGCAACTGACGCGATCCTGCGGGTTTCACAGCATAGCAGATGCATCCGGGAGATGGTGGCCGCCCATCGGCGCACTACCAAGAATCAAATTGCCAATACCGCCAAGCTCACCATATGTGGTGGCCTTTCACTGTTTTTGGACTTGAATCGGGCCTTCGACAGTGCAGATAGGCGTGCGATTTTTGACCACCTCATCCAACTTGGAACACCGCCCAATTTGGTGCAGTTGGCAGCCAGCTGGCATGAAAATACTCATTACAATCTTTCCTTTAGGGGTACTACCACTTCAATCCCCGTCGGAAAGGGCCTACGCCAAGGGTGTAAACTGGCCCCCCTATTGTGGGTGAGTTTTATGGACCTTTTCTTGCGTCAAGTGGCCAATCGCTGTGGTTATCAATGGGTTCACGACTGTTTGACGATCTATGCAGACGATGTTCATGTAGGCTGCCAATTTAGATCCAAACATGAACTCCAAACCCACTTGGTGAATATAGGCCATACTCTGGATGTGATTGAAAACCTGAAGCTGTCCTTGTCCTACTCCAAGTCATTTATGTTGATTGCCTATGCTGGCACAAATGCACGGGCAGCTCTCAAAGATGTTTTGCAACGTTCGCCCACAGGGGCCAGCATCAGAGTGCCACGCCTGGGAAGAGAACACACCTGCTTGCCGCTGCGCAGCAAGGGATCCTATCTAGGTGTTTGCATCAGCTATCATGCCTTTGAGATGTTGACTTGGCGGCATCGCAAACAAGCCAGCTGGTTGGCATTTGCCCGGTTGCGTGCATGGCTCAGGAGTAGGCAATTGACACGTGCTCATCGCATGTATTTGTGGAAAACGTGCGTGTTCACGGTGCTCACCTATGGGCTACTGGCCACTAATGTGACTATTCCCGTTCTCCTTGACTTTCAGGGGACTGTATATAGAATGGTCCGAGTAGTGCTTCAAGATCACTCGTATATCACGCACACCACACATCAGGCAGCATTCCAACAGCATCGGATTGATCAGCCACTCGATATGCTTCGAGCCCTTGCCATGGGCCTGCTGCAACGCATCCAGAGGCGTGCAACCATTTTAAGCCCCCATGATTTCTTGTGTCAATTGGATTGGACTCAGCTTCAAGACCTGTTGCATCTCATCCACAGTATGCAAGCGCATGCACCGGAGGTGCCCATAAGTCCCTGCCCTGACGATCCGATCAGAGTGCAGGCACGCCAACATTGCCCACATTGCCCCTTTGTCACAGACTCCATTCCCAATCTGCGACGACATTTGACCAATCACCACAACCAGCCACAATTCCGAACTGTATCAACATCACCTTTG